TAGGTTTCATTTGACACTACCTGACATTTACATTTTAGATGTCTGCAAAAGCAGTTCGACTAGTCATAATTATAATGTGACCAGTCAGAGTTCAAGATATGTCCAATTACAATCGCAGTGGAAGGAACAATAATCAAAAAAATCTCCAAACATATTCTTACTGGCGTTAAATGTATGATTAGTCATAATGCAAATGGACACATCTGGAATTCACATTTCTGATCATTAGTTTTTATTATAGAAGTAATTTTTTACTAATGAGAAAAAACATCTAATATGTCATAATTATTTAATTAAACTATCAATCATCTTAATTATGTGTCAAAGTGTAATTAAAGGGGGAGAAGTTTTTGTCTGGTCATAAATTATTGTGGATATCTTTAATGTGAAACAACCATAAACGCATCATAGTTGTGGGGCTGGTTCGATTTCCCTGTGAGCTGAACGCTTGTTTCCTTGCTGAGGAGCAGAAGGACTGAATGCTCTTCATGTTCGGACTCAGCCCGCGGGTCTGAGCCACAACAGGAAGAGCTCGTTGAACAAACTGAGCTAGTCTTAGTCAGATAGGTTAGCTTGCCTTTTAACTCCGTTATCACAATGGGTCTGTTCGGTAGAACAGCTGAGAAACCACCAAAAGAGCTGGTGAGTACTGACTGCTGAAGTCCAGCGCTGTCTTTGAGACATTTGTCCGCAGTGAGAAATAAAACGACAGCGCCTTGTGCTAACCTTGCTAGCGTTAGCTGTCAGTGTAACTCTGAGTTCAATCTGTTGCTACTTCTTGCTAACTGAACAACGCTAGTGCAGTTCAAATGAGGCAGCAACCCCAGTAAGAGTGTAAGTGTTAACTTGTATTATTTGCACCGTATTTGATGTTATACGCTTGTTGATATGCCTCATTAACCAATCTTATTTTGGTTTTACTGTAGGGTCGCTGGTTAGCATATAAGCTAACAGTAGTGTGCTGTCAGTCGCTTCCATGTAAACAAACCCTGATTTGTTCACTCTGGCTGATACTGTTTGAAAATGATTACTTGCTTTAACTTAGTCTAATCACACGCGTGACGCTATGTTACATATATTACAAACACACTAACTGTTGAGACAATATTAACTCAGTTTGTAAACAACTTGTTTCATTTCAGATCACTGAGTGGTCTCAGAAAATCAGGAAGGAAATGAGAGTGATTGACAGACAAATTCGAGGTAAGATACAGTCCGCATTGGATACTACCACTGAACAGCTGGAAATGTATAGTTATGATAGGAATATAGTATTTTTTAATTGTAAAGTGTCCGTCCATTTTATGCATTTACTTTTAATGCAGTTTAATGATTAGTAAGTAATTTCTAACTATCTGTTTCAACTGGAATATCTTGAAGCAAAACAGAAATTAGACACTTTGTTTAAAACAAATCTCAAAACATATTGAACTACTGAGTCTGAGACTGATAACTTTATTACACAGAATCAGAATCTGAAATACTTTATTGATCCCCGGGGGGGAATTTGTTAAACACACACTGCAGTCGTTGAATTATTTAAGTTACATTGTTTTTGTGTTGTCATATAATGGCATGCCCTTTTCTTTCAGATATTCAAAGGGAACAAGAAAAAGTTAAAAGATCCATCAAAGATGCTGCCAAAAAGGGCCAAAAGGATGTGTGCGTGGTTCTCGCAAAGGAGATGATTCAGTCGAAACGAGCTGTCACAAAACTTTACGCTTCCAAAGCCCAAATGAACTCTGTGCTACTCAGCATGAGGAATCAGCTCGGTGAGTTTGGGAGTACAGAAGCTGGGCCATTAGACAGAGAGACAATTCTTATTTGCCATCAGCTGAACAGTTTTATCACAGAACTTAATGGTCAGTGACGGCAATGCACTTGTGTGTTTGTAGCTGTACTGCGTGTAGCCGGGGCCATGCAGAAGAGTACAGAGGTGATGAAGGCCATGCAGAACCTTGTCAAAATCCCAGAGATTCAGGCCACAATGAGGGAACTATCAAAGGAGATGATGAAGGTCAGTAACAGAGTTTTACATAAATAGATACAGTTTACGTACAATCAAGTTACGTACAAGAAATGGAAGCCTGCGACACAATCCACCATTATTTCTTTATGAGAAAAAGTTGCTAAACCATGGCATCCTGCACACATATCCATCTTTCAGGCTGGCATCATTGAGGAAATGTTGGAAGACACATTTGAGAGCATGGAAGATGGAGAGGAGATGGAGGAAGCAGCAGAGGAGGAAGTTGACAAGATCCTCTTTGAGATCACAGCAGGTGAAGAGATTTGTTCATCTAAATCATCCCAATATATAAAGTTACTATCCTGTTTAGTTATAAAATTGTGGTGTTTAGATTTTCTAAGAATTGAACCACAGAGGGAATTATAATACGAATGAATACTGAAAGCTGTTTCATGGTTCTGTTTGTTTTTATAGGTGCACTTGGCAAAGCGCCGAGCAAAGTCACAGACGCCCTGCCTGAAATGGAGCCCGTCGGAGCCACTGCAGCTTCAGAGGATGAGTCAGAGGAAGACATTGAAGCAATGCAGTCAAGACTTGCAGCTCTGAGGAGCTAAGGTGAACTGCCACTGTTCTGTCAACGTTAGTTTGCTCACTCCAATAAGGGCAGAGACAATTCTGGTGCAGGTTTTACAGTACTGAGCATCCTCTCCGCTTCATATTCTAATTATTATTTCACATAATCATTGGGGGTTAACTTTGTGCTATTACAGTTAATGTCTTCGAAAAAGTTTTTTTTTTTATATATAGAATGTTTGGTCTACTCAGCCAGAAGAAAATGTGTTTTTGCTTTTTGTCGTTTATTATCAGGGGTAACCCTAGGTAAGTCTTTATTATCCAAAGTCAAACAGAAGGTTTAAAAGAAAGTGTATATAATGTAAGTATGAAAGCCTGCTGTGCCTACAGTGCTACGTCATATTCTTCTGTCCTAAGTTACGGACTGGTGGTGGAGGTACTTGGGTATTTATAATCCAAACAAGTGATTAAATAACTGTTGATGGAAGCCGCCCTGCACTTAAATCACATCCTAGATCACTATTCAGCAGTTGTTCTAATCTGTGTTGTAAGGATACATTTTGTAAACAACAGCTGTTCTGTTTACTGGTAACCAGCCCACATTATCTGAAACACTAGAGGTGATGGGTGGATTTCCCTTTTGATAGTTAATTTTATGTACAGTCGACATGTATCTATTCTATATGTGGTTATACATGTAAAGTACACTTATAAGAAAAATGCACGCATACTACCCTAACCCATTTTTTGCATTAACATTGAGCTTGTTAAATGTTTGACTTTGTATCATGATTGAGTTCCTTCTCAGTAGGAAGATGCAGAGGAAATGGAAAGGCTGGTTAGTGCAGAACCTATGTATTGTGGAAGTATTGTGTGTATAATTTTTCTATGTGAATGGGGGAAAAAAAAGAAATAAACTTTTAAGAACAAATGTTGCCAATATAAAGAATATCTTCTGCTCTCAGCATCGATCACATTAACCCACCGTACATTTAGCCTTTCAGCACCACAACAAGCACTGAACGCTAGGTTTATTCTTATCAGCGATAAGCGTTTGGGAAATCTGAACCTGCCGGCTTGCAAGAGCCCTCTCAGCAGGTCAGAAACTGTAGTGCGTGGACAGACACAAAACACCCGTCTGACAGATAAAACGGCTTCTTCGCAGTTCTGAAACCAAGAACAGCAAAGAGTTAAAAGACAGAATCGAGCAATAATCATGTGCTAAAGGCATGACTCAAACTCAAATTTCAATTTATATTTAACCTGTGAAGTGATGGGAGTCTGTTTTAATAAGGACAAGACATGTAAAGGTTGTTGGCTGTGCATTTTTGGGTACCCTTGTTGTTTTGAAGCCAAACCTTGGCTTCAAAAATGGACAAAAGGATTATATTACTACCAGCGACTGTCCTACCTCAGTGGCTTTTGCTGTACTGTAACAAAACCTTGCCTCTATTCTCTGGCTGCAGTATGTAGGCCAAAGGCTGGACAAAACAAAGGTACTGTAGCTCTAATGGAGCAGGTGCTCTCAGCTTTGCTCACCAGAGGTAGAGACATTTCATGCCCAGGAAAAATCTCTCCCCTTAACAATTCTTTCCAGATTTCTGTGGATATCTTTTAGTTGGTAGTTCGTCAGCAGTTGGTAGTGTTAAAGTTCATTCATCATGTACATTTTGTGGAAACATATTAAGTATAAGGCTCAGATAGAGTCTATTTATTCAGTAACAGCAAGTGCAAAGGCATTAACATTTAATTAACTTTCCTTTAAGTACAAGATCACTTTATTAGCGACTGTAATATTGAGGCCAACCCTTTCTTCAACGTTGTTACAGTATCAACATCTGAAACAATTAGTCAATTCATAGTTTGCTGGGGGTTGCTGTGATTTATTTTTTTTATCACTGTAAACTGAATATTAGAAAGGCCAGAAAAATCCAACCGAAGAAGTTTATTGGGTTTCACAGGGAGTTGTGACATTTTGACTATTTTCTGACATTTTTATTGACAAAATTATTAATCTAGCAAATCCAGCAGCACATTTATCAATAATGAAAGTAAGTACATGGTGCATATTTCTAAATAAAGCTGTGTTTAATCAAAATGACCACAAACTGACTGACACATATAAAACCTGGAACCAGGTATATAACAGGAGTAGTAGTTAGTTTGTGGGTCTCTGGGCAAATAGTCAGGCTGCCCTGTATAGTTTGCTGGTGCACTGTGCCTAATGGGGAGTCTCTGCTAAGGGAAAGAGCAGAAGGGTGTTATAAGGGGCCGAACATAAAAGAAATATGTTTCCAAGGTCAATCAGCCAATGCACATGATCATATCACATCTGAACACGCTCATAACCAGGAAGACTCATCTGAACCCACCTGGCATGCGGAGTATCTGTGTTGTCTATGCAATGCAACACTGCCATCTATGGATAAGAGCTGTAGGCCGCTCTCTGTTTATCGCGCATCACGTTGCTGCCTGTGTGCGTCCAGACGCAGCCGCCTGGACTCGCCTGTCATCTGGAGGAAACTCCTCCCCGCAGACAGCACGTCCTGTCGCCTTTCCAGCGCAATGGTCTCCTGGATCATCTCTAGACTTGTGGTGTAAGTCATTTTTATTATTTATCTCCATATGCTCTCTGGAATAATAATAATAATAATAATAATAATGATCATAATAATAAATTGCGGTTCTTGGTTTTGCGGGTATTTGATCCGGTCATTGACGGTGCAGGAGTGGCGCGCTTTACAAGCCCCCGCAATTTGTCTGATATTTAATCAGAATCAGACGTCCGTATGTAAGAAGAGCACAGACGTCGGGTCTATTAATTTTTGACTGGAAAACAGTAGGAATTCCTCAGGATTGTACTTTGACATTTGAGCAGGAGTGCTGAGCAAGGCCTGCACAGACCTGCATTTCTGAACAGGCTGGCAGCGCTCAGTAGCCACTGCCACTCTTTGTGTTTATCAAGTGGCTTTTTTATTACAGACAAAAGGGTGACGTGATGGGCTGAATAATCTTTTATCATCCACGAGATGAAAATATGAGTCGGATCCAGAAAACAAAATGTCACTGAGCGGCGAGGTGACTGCACAACAGGAGCGGTCTTTGAGTGGAGCTATATTCTCTGTTGATGTCCCATATTGGGGGGGAACAAAAGGGATGGGTCAGCCTTCTCAGGTTACAATGCAAGAGTTATTAATTTATCCCGACATATCCCCTTATAGCTGTACATTTAAATGAGATCGGACAATATTGGAGGCGTTTATTGCTGTAAATTATGGCTGTTTCTACCTGCCCAAAGTATGAATCAGCGCCATTGCAGAGCGTGTGGAGTATATACCAACAGCAGGCCCAACCTCAAAATAGTGAGGCAATTAAAATTAGATTACAAGATCTTGTTGCATAGATGCGAGTGTTTCGGCCCTGGCTGGTTATGGGGGTCCTTTTTGGGTCCAGTCTCCAACAGAAAGCGCTCAGTTGAGTCTCCCACAGATGACACATTTATTTTTAGTGTCCTTGTGTTTGTACACTCTGTTGAAGCACAGTTAGCTGGGAGAGGTGCAACATGATGTGGGTCAGTAATTTGATCAGATCGCACTCACAGCTGTTGCCTGGCTGTAGCTCTTGAACAAGGTCCTGTCTCTGTCCGGACACCAGCAGCACAGGTGTCTGCACACGAATAGAAATGCAGAGAAAAGGAGGAAAAACACATGTAAGCTAATTTTACCTCATGGTGAGGGTTTAGCACTGGGACAGCTTGTTTAGCCAAATCAATCAGGGATGAATCTAACTTTACATTTAATAGTTTCTCTCTGGGGGGCGAAAAAGCTGTTTCCTGTTTACCTTGGTGTCCTTAACAACCTGTCCAGCACTGTATTTATGTAGGCTGCAGCTCAGAAGAAGATTTTATATGGATTTATAAAGATCAGATATTCCTCAAGAGCATAATTTGAAACCTCTGTTTAACCCCTAATATATAATCATGGTTTCTTTTATCTTTGAATTGTATTGATTTGATATGTTATTCATGCATTTAAAATATCTGTCGCACTGCAGTGTTAAATGTTCCATTTTCTGTCTCCTAGACTTGTGTTTGGTACACTTTACCCCGCGTACTCATCCTATAAAGCTGTGAAGACAAAAGATGTGAAAGAATATGTGAGTATATCATTTGTATGAAATCATATCAGGCAGTGTCAGCCTCATAAATATGATTATATAAGGTGGTTATGTGCAGCTACTTTAACTATCTGTTACTGTTTTGTTACATTTTAGGTGAGATGGATGATGTACTGGATAATATTTGCCCTGTTCACTTCTGTGGAAGTGTTTACAGACATGTTTATCTGTTGGTAAGTGACCTTTGTGATAATACCATCTTTGATGGAAAACAGTTAATGTCTCGACTGTTATGCTATATTTTATCACTGACACGTAAAGCATGTGTTTTATTATGCTTTGTTGTACCGATGGCTCCAACTGTCTTTGTTATAGGCTTCCTTTCTACTATGAACTGAAGATGGCCTTTGTGGTGTGGCTGTTGTCCCCTTACACCAGAGGCTCCAGTGTGCTATACAGGAAGTTTGTTCATCCCACGCTTTCCTCAAAAGAAAAGGTGAAACTCCTTCCTTTGTTGGATCTTCCTTTATGTCCATTAGAGCAGTTCAAGGAAGGGCTTAGGTAAAAAATATTTCTTCTAGGCTCTAAGTTAGCTTGCATGGTTTTGTGACTAATAGAATTTGAGCTTCGCAGATTTCTAGAGAACAAAAGTTCCCTTGTTCAAAATCACTTTTCCACTTTAGCTGTTAAAGATGTGTTTGCAGGACAGGGGGCAGGAAATGTCACCGTGTTCCTCCATTTGTCCTTTCCTTTTCCCTCTATGTCAGGAAACACATTAGTGAGTTGGTGAAGACAATAACAGATACAGAATTAAATCAAAATGTCAACAAATATAAGAATCACCCGTCAACACAGGGCATTAAATGAGTTTAACAATGACAATGAGAGACATTATGTTTATGTGTTTTTTTTGTTTCAGGACATTGATGACTACATCGGCCAAGCAAAGGACAAAAGCTATGACACACTGGTGCATTTTGGGAGAAAAGGGCTGAACGTTGCGGCCACAGCGGCAGTCATGGCTGCAACAAAGGTAATGCAGGCTCTGGGCATTTGTTTTGTATTGATCTAGGGGTACAGCAGGGTCATTGTGGATAAGGGTATCAAGCCTGTTATGTTGTTTGCTTGTCACATAATGAAGTAGCTTTGTTGAATAAAGCTTTGGATGTCTGATTTTAAAGTAGAAGATCCAGAAGCCTATTGTAATGTTTGTATCAAATGATTTATGCCCCCAAAGATTGTTCATGCTCTAATTGCTGCTGACACTAAAGTAATACCCACTGTTACCTGATCTAGAGCCAAGGGGTCCTGTCAGACAGACTGAGGAGTTTCAGCATGCAGGATCTGTCCTCCTATCAGTCTGACCCTGTTAACACCGACCCTGAACCTACGCAGCCTGCACCAACACAGCATCGGACCAGATCTATGATGCGCAGCAAGTCAGAGAGCTACAACAAGGGTGAGTCGACATTACTCTGGCCAGCACAGAAAAGTAAAAGCCATTATAGAGGCCGCCTTACGCCAGCAAGCTAATAGCGCTACAGAGGGCTATTAAAACTCTGTTGTGGTGGTGAGAATATATCAGTTTTGTAATATGATGTGTTGATAAAAATGGGTTACATACTGCCTGTTCACAGAGAAGGTTAGCTATAATGGTGCCACTATAATACGGCAGCAGTGCCTGGTTCGTTTGTGTAAAACAGATTATCAAGTAGATTTCTTTCTTCCTGTTCAAGCTTGTTTAAGCTGACAGATATTGTTTCGTACCCCTGCTTTCCCGAGTGGCCCCCCAACCGAAGTCCTATCTTCCTGTTTGGAGCAGGTCAGGCCACACAGGGCTGCCAGGCTAAACCATCCTGTGATAAAACTCACATGTAGCTGGGGGGATTTGTTCTTAGTTCAACATCATGTGCAAACAGTTGTTGTTTGTTTTAATCTGGATTGGGTGTATGTGTTTTTTTCATCTGATAATTATTCCTTTGTCAATAAATTTAGACACAACTTTACACTGGACGGAAATATCAGCTGTACTAACTAACCTTTATATCAAACAAGATCACTTCTGTTAATATCTGAGTAACATAGCTGTTGTCATGTTATGACTACATTCAATTGTGGGTTCTAGAATAAGTCAGGCATTATTCTGTTTTGTTGTTGTTGTTGTAAACAAATCCCATCAACAGACCAAAATGAACCATGTTTTAGTCCGGCTGTAAATACTTCCTGACTTCCATACCCTGCCTGTGACTCTCTGCCCCAACTCCAGTGATTCCCACTATAGACGTAAATCTTCAGAAATATACAAAATTTTTAAGAATGCTCAGTAATTTCTGGTGACTGTAGTCTTTAGGAAACATTACTAAAACAGAAACTGTGCAATTGTTGGACTATTTTCAGTCGTGGATCAATACTTTAGTGAATATTTATGGCAGCAAGATGGTGTACGTGAGACTAACTCTAAATAAACTGCATTGCCCATGTTCAGTGTAATGAGTGAACATGTCACCCTGCTGTGCTTTTTTATAGTTTTTAGACAACCGTAGAGGTCTATCGCACAGAGGATAAGCTATTAAATCATTGTTGGTTTTGGTCTTTTCAAGGGACTTGTTGACAATCTGAAAGAATTTTAATATCACCAAATTTCTGCTGTGTTTGCATCAAATTACTTAAAACTACCCTGAATGGAAACAATGCAGCAGATAGTAAAAAGAAGAACAGAGGACACTTAATAAGAACAGGCTTGTTCCTGCTGCAACAAATTGGTTCCCGCTTATCATAACTCCCTATTTGGCCCCTTCTCTGTGGTCTGAAGAGTGGTAATCCATTATGATATGAAAGTTTCATAATCCCCACTGGCCAAAATCAGATGCCACTTGACAGCAATTAAGCAAAAAGTATTTGGCTTTCAATTCGATAGACCATAGAAAGGGTTTACATGTTGCTCATCCCTTCAACCAACCTTTTTTCAAGGTACAGGACAGGATTTTGACATGACTGATTATGAGGTGTTGGGGTTGGACCAGTTGGACTCCAAGGGGTTGCTATCCCAGAGCATTTCACCTTCTGAGTCTGAGTCCACAGCTTTTACACTCTCACTGACACCCGAGTCCTCCCCACCCTCCACGCCCTCTCCACCTCCCTCTCCACCGGCTCCAGAGCAGCTTGAGGAGGTGGGGAAAGGGGTGCAGACAGCATCAAGCTCTCCACAGCTCAGGCTGATTAAGAGGAAGGCTCCTGAGGTACACACCGCCTCGCCAACGTGGCTGCTCAGCTGCTGCCTGATTCTAACTTCCCCTTGAGAGTGGTGATTAACTCACCCATTCACTAATTTCTAGGGCTCTGTAGCTAAATAAATCATCATGGTTCAGCACTTCTGCAACTGTGGAGAGTGTGGCAGCTAATAGGATTTCTGCACTGATGAAGCTGAATCATGTATTAACTTTAGTGGAATTATTGTTTAGTTCAAATGAATGTGTGATCTTGCTCTTGATTGCACTTGTTTGGAAATGTGGCATGGGAAAAAGTCCAATCATTGTTTTGACATATTCACATGGATTGCCTTCCAGTGTATTTCACCCCTGATAATAACTTCTACTTTTAAGGTAATATTTATGGAAATGATTCTGCATAATCCCTGGAATGAATGGCAATTCATTAATACATTTGAACATCTAATATCAGTTTTTTTGGCATGGTGATTCTCAACTAAATGAAGCAGCACTGTTTAAAGGATAACACCTGCAATATCCTTTTTTTTTCTTATTGTCAACAAATCCCATGGAAAAAAAAACAGAACTAATAATGATTTAAACCTATGAACACGTATTGTCTGTGTAGCTGTCGCCTGATATATCTATATCTATCGTTGTCCTACAACTGTGAGCCACACAATTGCAGTGGGTGACATGTAGTTCAAGTCAATCGCAGATACTGAATCCTGCTGCTATAAATAATTAGTAGATGACCAAATAACACAATTTACTCCTGTTCTAGCAACTTTTCCAAAAACCCAGTTATTTTAGGAAATTGCCTTTTTTTATTTAAACATCCTTTTTAAGAATTAAACTTAATATTTGTGACCTGCTTTAAAAGATTTATGTCTTCAGTAGGAAAACTTCCTTCTGAAGCCCATTCATAGACTGGGTTTGGAAGTCAGAAGTACTGAGAGATACATTATTAGTTTTGGTTTTATCTGGAGATTTGTTGTTGGTAAGAAAAACACAAACTAATGCCTGCTGCATCCTTTATATTCTGTGCAACTCATTGTAGCAATTAGCTGACTAAACTCCATCTCCCTCCTTGCTTTTATCCTCATCTGTCCTCTATTATAGCCTCCTCTTAGAGTCTTAAGGCCTCTCACAAGATCCAGGAGTGCTCTTTCTTCGAACAATGAAGCCATGTGAAACTAGTCCTCAAGACTACTCCAGCTGCCTTTGCTGCAAGAAGTGAAAATACTGAATGGCCAAAATCTACATGACTAAAGCAGCCTTGCTTTGGAATAAGGTATTACCAAAGTGACCTATTATGACCCCTCTATATAAAGTATATAGCTCGTGGCTCATGATGATAAAAAAATGAGGTTTGTGACATTGAAATAGAACAAATGAATGAATGGGCTCCATGCTGAAATTTTGAGTTTGTGGGTAATTGAATATGTATTTTATGTACAGTTTGTGTGTACTTCATCTTTCTGATTTGATTGTTTTTATATATCAGGTTTCGGGTAAGCAATTGCATGTGTGTCTTCCCGGTAATTAGTCCGCTGTTTATTAAACAGAATGTACTGTCACTGAACACTAAAGCTGGCACTGAGAGTGACATGGTCGCTGTTAGAGAATGTGTTAGATGCCAAGGATCAAAAGAAAAGGCATGGCTGTTTTTAACCCTCATTCGATCTGTTATGGAGAAAACATCTGTGAGAATTCTGCACTGATTATCACATCAAGGTGTTGCAAAGTCAGTCGATTATCCAAAAACATATTCTGAGATAAGACAACCTACTTTTGTTGTAGTGAAAAGTAAAAACAGCAGTGGCAGACAATATTCTGTAATTTACCTCTCTATTAAAGCCTTAAGTAAAGACATAGCAGAGACATAAACAATATATAGTCTCCACACTTGATTTAAGTATTTCTAACACAACTATCTTCTCATTAAACAATCATTTTGCACTATGTTTAGAAAACCACTGCTCTCGATACTCTGAAATGGCCAAAAATGACATAAAACAAAGATAACATAATAAATGAATAGCTGAATGTTATCACAAATTACTTTTATTATTTCTTAATTCGTCTGTGGTAGAGACATAATTTCCTGTGTAACAAGTAATAGCATTCACATCACAGAGAAATATAAGAAACCAGTACTACAAGAGGTTTTCTCTCTGGAGCAGACTGTTTTTGACAATCTACTGTTCAGTTTGTATGCACATTTTGTCATTTAATTGACCATTTATTTGGTAATTTAAAGCCTATTAGGAATATGTCCCTTTCAGCTGTAGCAGAAATGGGATATATATTGTGGGTAAATATTGACTGTATATAAACATGGTTCTTTTTCCATGTTTGAAATCACTGTGTAATGCTCCGCTGTTAACTGAGCAACACTAAACCCAACGATCTTACCTTCTGCTTGCTTTACTTTTATTTTTTAGGAGTTCATTCGAGTGACTTTATCGGTTTGCAGGTTTACAAACTTACATTTAACTTAATATTGCGTGGTGATACACTGTATGTTTTCATCCTCTACTTCTACTCACTGAGCCCGAATCATAGCAACAATTTTCACAAAGTGTCACTGTGTGGGTTGTTGATGGGTGGACTTACGCAGTAGATTTATAATTTTCATCATTGTATCTGTATCATTAACGGTGGTTTGAAGTTTGAAACAAAAGCTTCTCAGGTACAACTGTTCTGTTTACACGTCATTCACTCTGATGTTGTAGATACACTTGTTATGCACATGGAATGTCCTAAATGGATAAATGGTGAAAAAAAAGATTATGTGTTTCCGCGTTAGTGGTATCAGTGTTAGTGTTGGAAGTGATTTCCTTCTATTAAAATTCATGCAGAGTAAAATGGAGAAAAAAAACATGTCGCAGTAGCAGATTTGTATATTTGTGCGTAGACTGATGAACTCATCCTTGCATGATGTTTGTTATTAATTTGTATGAAAATTTGATTTCTTAAATGATTTTGTGTGAAGCTGTTGGCCTCTTTAGATGCCTTGCTGGTAAACAATGAATCATTTTTTGTCACTTTTGGTTGCTTTGTAGTAAGAATATAAAATGTTACGACTAAAAATACATGTTGGCTATAATATTATATGAAAACCACGTCTTATTTACTGATCAATTAGCCACTTTGACTTTAGTCATGAAGAGACACCACTTTCTAAGTTATCCTAAGAAATTTTGTTCTGGCAGGCCAGAATGTCAAATTAATTACAATTTCAACTTGATTGTGAATTATAAAAAAAAAACAAGAAGTTGTGAAGTGATGACATGATGGTTTATAGCTATAAAATTATCGTTCTACTACATTAAATATTTCTGTTTAAATCGATTTACAGCCATTAAATATGAAACAAAACTTTGACTGTGTGTCGATGTTTTTTGTCTTATCTTAAAAGAGCATCAAAAAGAAAAAGATCATTTAAGACACATGACTTTATCACATATATAACTTTATTACATTGTATTCAAACAGAAAATAAGATGTCACTAATGTTTGAGGTTGACACGATTGTGGTACTTCTGGTATGGATCATCAACATACCAGTTCCTCCTTTTCCAAAAAGATGTTGTCATTTTATCCAATAGCTTGCTCTGTGTTTTGTTACAGAATACGTGCTCCCTCAGGCGCTTTCGTCTGGCAGGTAACTTCTTCCACAGTTTCTTCTTGTATCCAGCCTGTTTACACCCAAAATCAAGAGATCAGACTGGCAACAGAACAAATCTGTGATTTCTGTTGAGTTAATGAACTGTAAAAGACTCTTACCTTGCGTCGGAGCCAAAGGCCACAATGCAGCCTCATGAACCTTTCGGTCACAGATTTTACAGACTTCCTTTTCCCTTTCTTCACACTGTAATACGTCAGACTTCTGCTTGGTTGCTGAGTCAGACTGGGAATGAGTGGCGATACCCTGCAACGACGCAACAACTCAAATTACAAAACAACAAATAAGTATCACTAGCTACGTAGATGATTTTAGATGTATTTAGTCAGGTTTTGATATGTTTGTGTCAGAGAGTCCAGATTCAAAAATGCAGAATAGAATTGTGTTTGTGGCGTTTTAAAGGATCAGTGTGAAGGATTTAGCTACTAACTCAACACCGCTTGTGTCTGTATTCGATGACCTGGGAATAAATGTTACACACTGGACATTTTACTTATTCAACTGCCACAATAAACTAGTTTTCAAGAGACAAAAAGAAGTTTCTTCTTGCACCTCTACAGACTGTAATCTCAACCCTGATTTTAGTTCCAACAGTCCTAACATCTAATCCTAGTTAGCAACACTCAAATGGGTTCTCATGTTTGACGCTAAGCTACATTATAAGGCCAAATGTAAGTGCACACCTGAACATTAAACCTATGTGATTGTTGATCATTTTGAAACCATTAATCTGCTGCTGTACTAGTCTACATTGCTCTGGGGAGGCTATCTACAAGTGTGTGGACCCTGGCTGCAGCAATTCAGCCACAGGAGCATTAACATCCATCCCAAAGGTGTTGGATGGGGGTGAGGTAAGTATAGGTATAAAGTTCTTACACACCAAACTGAAAAACAAAACCTAAGCAAACCCAGTATAAAATATTATTATATATTGTAGAAATGAACCAATAATAACGCCACAGTGATGGGTGTTGGGATACCACTGACATACTAATGCCAACAGCCAGTATGTCGATATTTAGCTTATTATCAGGCTGTTACAGTGACTACTGTTATTAATATAAACCCTTCAGCAGTCTGAACATCAGCAGCAGAGCTCCTTCTGGTTTACCGTTGCAGGATGTTGTACCGGGGTGTCTGACCCACCGCAGCCCGCAGAGGAGCTCGGACGGCGGCTGCAGCACAGCTGTAGAGAGGCGGAGGCTGGGTGAGGCTGGAGAAGAGGCAGAGCTGCGGTGTCTTCGCACACAGAGACACAGACAGCGGCCTCAGCAGCCCTGTCACACACAGGGACAACAGAGACACATGAGAGGAGCACAGGGACAACACAGACACATGAGAGGAGCACAGGGACGAGAAAGCCTAACACTAGAGAACTAACGGTGCAAACAAACTGCACCGACGGACAGTTCCTCCAACGTTAGTTCAGTACATTAAAACATGGATAAAATACTAAATATTTACACAGAGAAGTGATTAAAATATCAATGTCAAATTGCAGGTACACACCGGACACTCTCCTTGCCAAGACGGCCGCCATGTTTTCTCCTCAATGCTGCCGTAAGTACGGAGCGCTGTAAGGACAAATTTCATTTTGGTCGCGTCCAACTGAAATAGTACACAGAGCATTATCGCCACCTAGCAACTGTCACTGGACGTGTACGCATTTCCAAAAAATGTCAAAATAAAAAAAAAGTACAATTGTGTTACTTTATTTGGATATTTCTTTTTTTGCTACTCTAGGTTAATTCTACTAACCGACCAAATGTCAGAGGGAAACATTATAATATTAGTATTTTACCCCTATATATTTATTTGACAGTCACATATATTTTAAATAACCCATATGAGCTCCAGATAGAATATAACTCTCAGAAAGGCCATTCTGGATTAACAGCCTATTTTTACTATTTCATATTGAAAGGATTTTGCTGTAAAAATACTTAGGTCACTGTACTTTTACTTAGCTTAAGTCAAATTTGAATGCAGCAGTTTTTACTTAAGTAAAGGATCTCAAATAGATTAACACAGGTAACCCTAAAATCATTGTGGAGGCATTTCAGCCACCAGAAATTGGTTATGGACTCCAGTGTCCACTTTCTATCAGTAGTAGGCCTATTGCTTTAACTCAGACTTTAAGTGCTTTCTGTCTTTCTACTGCATGGTTGTACACTCTGTGAACTTGTTTATCTGAGTCTGAGGTTTGCCATTTGTCACAGTCTCCTGTTGGATGTTTACATAAGTGGCAAGAATTGTTCACGGCTTTGGGACACAACCACAGCGTGACTTCTCTCTTTTCCTTAGTCTGGTAAAACCTTGCAGTATCCACTGTATAGATATTTTTCATGGTATGACATTTTCACTTCTCATAGCAGGAAATACACAGGAGCAGCCAATAACATTGATTGATGTCATAGATTACCCGTGTGTTAGTCCAGTAAAGCTTTAGCATCCCACAGATTTATTTTGGGCCCTTTTTTTTAACATTGTAACAAATCCAATGTACAACAGATATCACATTATACAAAAATACAGGGCATGAATCCAGAATAATAAAAATGCATGTGATAGGAAAATTAGATCTTCAACAAAATATTACAAAAAATAAAATTGATTAAAAGCTTTAAAAAAAGCTGCAAAGCATGTGTTTGGGTCACTCTTGACCTTCTTACTGCCTTCAAACAACTTTTATAATGGGTTCATCTGTATTAAAAAAAGAAAAAAACTTTAAAAACATTATCTTATGTAACTATGTGGTAATTTTCACTACAGAATAGTCAAATTAATACTTTTTAGTCATGGTTACTGCTATACCCAAAGACCTTGTTAAGTCAATGTGTCAGTTTCCTCATTTTCAGTCACCTTTCCCTGTTCCAGAACAAATGTGAATACCAAATCAAACCAAAACTGTGTTGAACTTAGACAAACATAGTATACCAGGTTAAAAATATAGCAGGTCTATTCCTGGAATGACACAGTAATACTGCCATCACAACACAAGCTGAGCCCGGTTTCATGCTTTCCACATGTTGCAGGGCTATCAGACCAGCAGTTTCACAGTATTCACTTCAGAAGTGCTAGATTATTGACGATCAAAGTCCAAAATGACCTGTTCTACTGAGGGCTTTGTTGGGACAAACACTGCACAGTCAGGATGGCAGTCATCACTACACATTTGAATCCTTCATTTGAAAGCAATACTGTTGTTTTTCTTGGCTAAATAACTATATAATGTTCAATCTGTAAGGCTTTTTAAGAGGTCAAAGATCAAAGATCTGACATAACCTGTTGGTTGATGATAATAATAGTGCTAATATTATTAAAAAAGAATACAAAAATGAAGGCTCAAGTTAATCATTTTTTATTTATTTTCCTTTAAAACATACAAATATAATCTTATAAAAGCAGATGAAAAACATTAAGCAAATGTATCAGTGGAACTACAGACGACGCAATGCACTCAAATGCATTAAAAAACACAAGGCACCAACAACAGTTTACACCTCTGTGTAAGTTGGGAACTACACATGTTAATGGAGGCACCCACCAGTTTACCAACACACAAGTGCAAAGTAAACCAATTACCTCTGTAAAAAAAAGTGCGTTTCATAAGAGAGAGAGGTTCCCACCCAGTCGAGGCACTCATCTTATTCTGACCGTTCCAGCATACCTCTCATAATCCATTAACCTTGTTTAGAAAAGGAGCGCTCATCTCTGAGTGGAACAACTGTAACAGTGTCAAACTACAAGAATTCACAAAAGGGTCAAATTCCGTTTCTCAATTATATTTTCAAATGTACCACATAGAAAAATTTGGTGGACTGTCAAAGTACTCTCAAGGCACCAGTCCAAGATTTTACCGTCAGTCTTCTTCTATCAGTTCTTTTGTCTTTAGATGGGACCCATATGGAGACAAGACTTCAGTTGGTTTCATGCTCTTAGGAAAAGCTAAGTTAAAGTCCTTTGGTTTACCAGCCAGCATACACAGGTTCTGCGTCACCGGGGATCCCATAGTATCGACCCTGAGGTCGCTCTTTGCGTAATAATGGAGCCCGGGCTACAGTCAGCTCTCCATCGTTGTCTCTCCGTCGACGCAGTACCATTAAAATGATAAAGAGTACGGCCACTGAAGGGAGAAAGAATAAAAACAGGATGTTACAGGAAATGACCATCTACAGCAGGACTCATTTCACACACAAAGAGGGCATTGATACGTGATAATGTCCTGTGTGCATGATGTGGTCACAGTGTAAGGGCAAAAACAGAATCAGTTTCCAGTGTGCAAAAAGAAAGAGTTTCTGTTTCCATGAGTCCGAAAGACCAAAAGTGTAATCGAATAAACAGTCAGGTAAAGTGTTACATATCAGCATAAACTACATTTCCAACAATACTTAGCTGATTTGTGAAATTTCCAGTAAGAAATGCAGACAATCAATTTAAATACATACAGCAACAAACAAATAATTCACAATTAGACAGCAAACCCTTTCTATTTAATGACTTATATATAGTGAAAATGTGAAAGGTTTAAGTTTAAATAAACATGGTTCATTTACATTTGTATAGTTATAAGAAAACAAATGAGTAATCCTCTTTTATAGTCTTCTGTAAACAACCGTTGCTAAGTCAAGTGTGGAAAGTTCTTTAAGACTCCACTGCATATGTAGTTCTCATTTTTACTCATTTCCTTTTATGAGTGGAAAAAAACAACAAGCCCTGTTAAGCTACAGAAAATAGCCGTGCCTAACATTGACTAAAGGGAGCTATAAAGCATTACCAAATCAAACACCAACTATTTATACTTAAAAGAAAATTGTTTGGCGTGTAATTGAATCAGTTTGAAGCTTGTCAACTTTAATGGCAATCAGTTTGAAAAGCAGAACTGTAAGTCTAATGCCTTTAACATGGTGTTAATAAGGCAAGTTACATTACCAAAGAAGCTCTGACATTTAAGGAAAACATACTGGAAGGCTTCTTTAATGTCTTCCAGCATTACTTACCTCCTCCTCCAATAACTAAAAGAGCAATAGTGACAGGAGCCAGTTCACAAGTGTCTCCTGCTTTGCGGAAGAAAGTTTCCATGCAGTAGCCTGGGGCCAAGCTGCCCTGTGGACAAAATGCATCGCTGGGACACTGAATGGGGTTCACGTCGGGACTCTGAGGGAACAACAACACTCTGTCACCAAACATATGCACACACCGCTTTGTTTTCTTGTTTGTTTCTTGTTAGACATGGTGTGGAAGACGTAGCACTCACAGGGCAGTAGTGGTTCTCTGGGCATACATCACAGCTTTCCTGGCCCCAGCGGATCTGGTAGAAGCCACTGCTGCAGATTTGACACATAGTCTGATGGGAGGCCTTATGCATGCCTGTTCAAAACCAGAAATTACCTGGTGAATTGTCATGCACTTTTTCATTACAAGCTGCAGTAGTCATAAGCATTACTTATTAAGACCCTGCAGCTTTAAGTTTGCATGATGTGAATTACCTGGCCGACACTGTGTGCAGTCTTTAGCAGCGGTTTGCAGAGCTTCTGTTCCTCCAGGACACATCTGGCACCGGGGACAACTGGAGGAGCTGTCAGAGAGAAAGAACACTTGTTTGTGACTGTAAATGAAGTAGGAGTTTCATGGCTGCCACAAGAAACTTAGAGGCATTTTTGAAGAATGCCAAAGCTGCTTTAGTTTAAAGCTGTTGTTGCAGTGTGGTTTCACAGACATGTGAGCAATGGTTTGGTGTGTGGAATAATAATACACAGCTTTGAAAAACGACATCATTATCTTGGGAATACAATGACAATATTTTACTGCCAAATTGGGGAAGAAATGGTTTCATTGTGTGTACAATTAAAAGTTGTTTGGACACAAGATTAAAGATGACGTCCACGTTCCAAACACAATATACTTAAAAAAGCTGTGGCCAGACAGACGTTATTGCCTGTCTTGTTAGCAGCCTTCTCTGATTTTATTGTCAGAGAAGAAAAACCTCAGTGAAAAGTTTTAGGCTAGTTTCAAAGAGGATACCAGACTGTCTTGGTGAATAGCTGAGCCTGGAGGTGAAGTTCTTGGTCTATCAATGGATCTTCCTTCCAACCCTCAACTGTGATCATGATCAGGCTGTGTGGGGGCTCAGATTGTCCTTTCTATCCATCTATCACACCTTATTATTGTTTTGATCAAGATGCTTCTGTGGAGGAATTCTGGGTACGTCAACTGGGTATAGAGCCCAGAACAGACTAAGAACATGCTGGAGAAACTGCAAATTGAATTTAGCCTGGAAACCCTCAAGGTCCCCCAATCAGCCCGTATCCCAAAACCTGGTAAGCAACAAAAACATCTTTAGACTGCTAATGGTCATCTTGCTGCTGAAACTAAACACCGTCTGTTATTTGCAAGGCCAGTATGTAAATTATTTTTATGGGG